TTAGTTCTTTTTTATACAAGATAAAAGTCATTGCAATTTTATCGTTGCAAATGTGTTGCAATATAGATACCTACAATACCACTGTTTGTCACAATTTTAAATTTTGGACAGTGTTCCAGTGTTAAGGAAATAAAACTTTAAATGTATGGGCATTCTGGGTCCCCTTTAACTTATATGACTTATGATATAACTAGCTGTGTCAACATTGTAAGTACACTTATCACCCCCTTGTCAATGGCTATTACTTAAACGGCCACCAAGTAATGGGTGTCAATGGTATTGTTTTAGTGGTGAATAGGTTATGAGTGAGTGAGAAACTTTGATTTACCAAGAGAGTACTGTTGAATTTAACTCTGTTATTTAAAGATGGTTCTTCTCTAGCTTACAATAAAAAGATTAATTCTCTCTGATTTTTGTAAAGAAATGAGTTTGTTCTCTGCGATATTCCATAATTGATATTCCTTAATTTTGACAATATCAATAATTCTATATATGGTAGTATTAAGTAATAAAATAGTAACACATTTTTCATAAATTGCACTAATTGATACCAAATTAAATAAATATAAAAAGTTTGGGAAATAGAAGTGTTATAGTACAAGACATCAGTGGAGGTAAAGTTTAAGTCAAACAAATTACACCCGTCAAACCATGATGTGGTCAGTTTGTTTGTTAAGCTAGAGTGAAGTAGGATTAACTATGTATCCATACATAGAAATCATATGGCTAATGTACAGCTTGCTACCCTATGAGATGAGATGTTGAAATGTTCAACAAACTATAATATTTCTCCCATATATATCACACTTTTAATATATTTGGTCATTTTTGATTCCTGACAACAAGAAAATTGTAGGTTTGGGTACTGCAGACAAGAAGATGTGCTTGTGTCCTTCAGCAAGACATTTTAACTTTTGTAGTAGCATAACTGTAGCTGCCTTGATTGGAGTAAAACATGGGTTGGGTTCCGTAAGACAGTTTCTATGCTGTTATTTTCCAGTGGAATGACACATTAATGAGCTGTTAGAAATACAGACCCAAAACAAGAACACCAGTATACAACCTCCAGCACATGTACTCATGTGCACCCTTACACATATGAATGTGCTAAAGGAGATAACACAGTAAAATGCTCTTGATTTAGACTCTCCTCATTGTGTTGAATATTATATACCATGCCTGTCTTAAAATATTTTCCTTGAGATAGGTGCTATACAAATGTTATTCAATAATAGAGAACTTGTTTGACCTCGAAAAAAAATTAAGTGATATAAACTGTATTTTTACAATTATCATAATCTAAGTTCACTTAGTTGACAATTTCAATATTCATTGAAATGTAAATGTGTCTTTATTTATCAAGCAGATCTAATGTATTCATGCATGATTAAACCATCATATTTTCAAAAAGTTATCTTCTATAAGCTGTAGGCTAAATGACATATTACTGGAATAGAAAAAAATAATATCAGATCATATTTGCTCTATTCATTTGAATGATGCACTGTTTTAAAATTTAAATTACATAGCTAAATGATTAGTTAAGTGGTTATGTCTCCTCAGAAAAATAAAATAATTATGGAGATAATTTTAGATGTGCTTCATTAATAAAGACATACCCGGGTATTTAAATTTTAAGATCAATTAGAATGTGGAAATGTGATGAATTTTCTAAATGATTATGTTAAAAAAATCATCAGCTTCACATACTTGTGCAGTATTGCACTGTTGTGCTAAAAGCTTTTATGTGTAGTTTCTTACCTGGCCTGGATACACAGTCGAGGTATATAACAAAATACTATACAAATATGGTTGAAACTTTTTTTTAACAACTTCTGGAATACTTCCAATCTACCGTTCAGTATTCCAACATTCTAGGTAGATAAATCTTAGAGAAGTGTGTATAGGAATTGGAGTAAAGGTCAAACAAGTGCGTTAGAATCGGTTTACCAGTGATCTATCAGGTAGTAATGAATGTGTTTTATACAAGTCAAGTTCTTATCAAGAAGGGGGTATCACATTTCAACTTGATTTAAAGCAAAAATGTATCCTATCCACATTAAAAAGCAGCACTTTAAGTATGTGTATAATGGTAGATGTTGGAGTCTAATTATACATAAAGTCAAAATAACAGTCTTGGCTCCAGCATTTAATGTTCAATCTTAATGATGCCATTTAGAAACAAAAATGTCTGTCACTGTACATGTCTTACAATTGTACAACATTTTACTGTACTGTTTCTCATGCAAGGGAATGGCATTTGAAGGGCTCAAAACGCCTATAACATATTGGCAATGTTGATATTGAAGGAATGAAATGCTTCTTTTCAACATCTTTGACGATATGCAACACAGTTCCATTAAAACATATTCCATGCTGCCCAGTAGCCTAACTTAACATTTTCCAGCTGTTTCTAAATATAAAATTGTTGCCATTGCCCTTGATTTACTGAACATTATTGACTTGAGTCAATTTAGCAATTAGCAATTACATGTACCTCCATCTGTATTTGATAATTTATTTAAACCTTTTATTACTATTCTGAGTATTGGTTATTACTGAATTCTGACATTATAGTATATGTCAAGGTATAAAAAGAGCTGACAACTGTTGTCCCTATTATTGGACAATGGATAGAAACTAATGGAATGAGTCATTGTCCTAGGATGCCTGGTTGATGGCCAAGTGTCAGAGAGTCGGATTGGTAATTTTCCTGATCTGGATGTATTTGTCTATGATGTGATTCAATTTTCATAAACTCTTAAGGTCCACTGCATCAATTTTGATCATGAAGAAGAGATGCACTCCAAGATCCCTTTTTTGTTTTTTTCCTCACTTATACATGTACATGTAAATAAAAAAGATAACACTTTAACCAAAAGGCTTTTTCGTGGCATAGAGTTACTTTCCTTGTCAAGGTATTCATATCTCAATTTTCAATGTACAGTATTTGATCTCAAATAAGCCCCCACCCCTAGCGAATAAAAAATAGACCAAAAGTAAAGGAAGGGGGCTTAATTGCTAGAGTCAAATACGGTATTGTTCTGAGAACTTGCAGATTAAGAGTTCGGTTTTCATTTTGATACTGTGCTTTTTTAATTCCAGGATAGTTTGACTGGTAAAGTGTATGATTGGATTTGGATAGGTCCTGAGTTAGACATATTTTCTGTTTTTGTACACCTTCAACGTCTGTCATTATTATTATGTCATGTTGAGTGGAGGTTTATTGTAAACAAGCAATAAAGCCTCCTAGAAGTTTAAATCTATGAAATGTAAGTAATGTTCTTTTACAATCTGTTTGGACATTGTTTATTATTTTACCAGGCAGGTAGTCAAAAGCATCCTTGACACTACCAAACACCCAATGGTATTCATTGACCTCAACAGTTCCTACAAATATGCAGGAATAGTTAACTCGCTGTTTAGGGGCTATGTAAATACTGATCTGGTTTGAGAGGGCCACTTAGCCCGTCTTAGATCCCCTTCGGTGGCTATCGGACAGTTATCACCCTTCACCCAACCAGGAAGTGAGAGTCAAGTACTGTAGAGGCATATCTAGGATAACATGGTCTCTTCTACATCAGTAAAGACAATGAGAGTGTTCTGAAGAAAAGAAAAAAAAAGCAGAATCCCTATAGATTCATGAGCTATAGATCCAGACACCTAGAGTACTAGACTAGATCAATTTTTAGAGAGCTGTCTCATGGAAACGAGAAAAATAGACAAAATTTGTTTACATTAAGTCATTCTATTAGATTGTTGAATCGGAAGCGCTATAGATGTTTAAGTCTGGACTGATAAGGAAATTCCATTATAATCCACCTGAAGGTAGATAGGTTGATCAGGTGATAGGTTAATCAGGTGAGACGGGCAACGTACCTGTAAAGTTGCAGCCTCTTCTTCAAAGCTTTGTCAGTTTTATCAGTCTGTAACTGAAATTACTTTTTACTTGAAATATTTCAATACATGTATTGCACTTAATTATTTTGGTGTATTCAAATTTTCATCAAAACTCAATTAAAAATGCAGTTTTAGCTGTACATTTGAAATTTGTTTTTGAAAACATGATTCATGAACATTTGCCTGAACCTATAAAGTAAACAAAGCCTTGTTATGGTACACACATATTATTATCAACATTGACCAAAATCAATAACCACTGCTAAAGACATGCATTATCTATACTTGTATCAAATAGGGCTATTTACTCGGGGTATCTGTCCAGAGAATAATTAATTGAACCAGGTGCAAGACAGTATTGATCGGAAAATAGTTTTACCTGACTTTAATTAACAGGAATATTGATTATAGAACAATCTCACCTGATAATGCCACACAGTATCAGTGATATACCGGTATGGGGAGAAATCGACACTTGGTAAAGTAAATGGTTTTACTTTGTGAACAGGGAAGGCTTGATCCGTTGGAGTTTATAAAAAAAATCCTATGAGATGTCTTTTTCTGATAAACTTTATCCTCTGTTAGATACAGGCACAATTTATGTTTGACTGCATATGCCCGGTATTTCTTTATTTTCAAGTTTGGAAAAATCTGTATTTAAGAGTTATCATAGTTAATTTAGTCAAAGAAATTAGTCCTCTGCAGAAAAATCAAGCACTTTATATATAGAATTTTGTTCCCTAATAAGGTGATTTGGGCTCAAAAGTATGTGTCCCTTTCCTAAATAATCCATCTATATGGCTATAAATAAAGATTAAAAAATAAATGTAAATGAAATAAAAAATTATTGAATATTAACTAGCACCATACACATAATAATATAATGTATTTGAAGGTTATTAGTCAAGGTCACAAAAAATATTATTTCATTTCAATAAAATACTTTGATCTACGTTGACTTTGAACCGGTCACACTTTTAGAAAGAAGTTAAAAAAAAAAATGGTTTAATAGATGTATCCAAATTCAACTAAAATTTAAACAAAGAATATTGCATTGAACGAACATTATGGCGACTTATTTTTCTTCTTCTGTTTTTTAGAGAGAGCGGAATGCTGGATCCAAGTGTGTGATTTCTATGAATGGAAATTCTACTACCATAACAGATCCCGACTCAGGGCAAACAAAAGCATTTTCATTTGACCACTCCTACTGGTCACATGACGGTTTCACTGAGACCAAGGATGGAGTCTACATGCGTGAAGCTGACCACTATGCTGACCAGGTGAGAACAAGTCTTAAGAAATGATATCCTTGTAGGGGTAACTGGTTATTCTGTCATCAGTATAATGTGGCTGTGTGGAATACTTCCCGGGGTGCCTTCAGCATGGTATTTCAGTGAGGTGGCACTCTAAAGTTGGCATCAGATCCACACTATCGCAAGGAGGCAAATACATCAACATTCTGCCTCCAGCACTTTACACACATACATTACACACATTTATACATTACACACATTACACACATGTCCTTTAAAGATCTTAGCTTTCAACAGAATACTAAACCCTTTAAAACAAATCCAAACAAATGCTTCAGGGGGAAGAAGTAAAAGATATATTAATTTTGAATAATGCAACTAAAGAAACATTTTTTGAATTAAAAAACTTCTGTGTTAAATATCAAGATTTATTTTATGTTTGATTATTATGCTCAAGAAATCAATTCTACATTTCCAACCTGTTTCAATGATATAAACATTTGATTATGGCTAAAACATTGTAATGAATGTTTATGGCTAAATCATTGTGACCTAAGACAATCATGTTTCTTTGCAATGATCTTTGGATACATAATCACACTTAGGATTACCTAATACAATAAATGTTCAACTATTTTTCTTTTTTGTTGACAGAGACAGGTGTTCAGTGACCTTGGAAAAGGTGTGCTTGATAATGCATGGCAGGGCTACAATGCTGCCCTTTTTGCTTATGGTCAAACAGGGTCAGGGAAGAGTTACTCAATGATAGGATATGGCCCCAATAAGGGGATTGTCCCCATCACATGTGAGGAACTGTTCAAGGTCATAGAATCCAACAAAGACAAGGACAAACAGCTACAGGTAAATATAAATAACTCTTTCCTCACCAAAATATAATTCCAGGTAACTCCCCAGAGCCATTTTGTAATAATTCTTCATATTTTTTACCCATTTTGATTACATTCATAAAATATTTTTTAGTTGTACCTAATTCTGGACTATTGAACATTTTAGTGTTTCTATTTATGTATAAATTTATTTATTTCATTTCTTTGCCTAGAACTACAAAAACATTACAAAATGCTTTGTCCAGTATACTAAAATAACAGGGAAGGAATCTTACCTGGAATATTGTCCAGTACAAGACAAGATACCTAAAATCATATCTCACTCACAGGGGCGTGTATCTCTAAGGCCAAGTAGATAACAGAAATCACATTTGAAGGTCAGGAACTACAATTGTTTATAGGTCTAAGTGTCTCTTAGATCAAGGAAAGGCCTTTTGAAGGTGAAAACACAATAAATCTTTTTGGATTCAATGAGGATGTAATAAAAGCAGCCTAATCACCAGTATCTGTATGGGTATAACACATCACAGGATCATTTCTATTGAGTAACTACTCTTGGTCTGTTTTGAAATAGTTTGCCATCTTACTTGACTATATGGTACTTTACTTTGCTACGCGCAATATACCTTTTTTGACCTGTATAAAAAGTAGCGTGACATTAAGAGATGTAACATTGTCAGAGGAAGCACGGTTCGTTCTACCTTGTAATGCTAATTGGCCGTCTTTCATAGCATACACAAATTAATTTGAAACAATTCGGCCAGTAGGGACACAATATGCTAAGATTCCATGGAACAACAGGCAGAGTGTTCATACAAACAAGGGGATTAGGAAATGACAATTACTTTGATACTCTATTAAATAGTTTATTGGTCGATTTTTACCATTATGCTAATGTCCCAAAACAAAGTTCACCGATTGCCACATGACAAGGTTTGCAGTCATGTGATGTAATAAATCTGTTATGTTCCTTTCTCAACATCGTCGGATCTACGGTTGATTTCGCTTTGGTACTCACTCATCACCGAAGCAAAAATCAACTGTGGGTATCCGACGATGCTTTCTCACAGGAGCATCAGTTTTGTGATATGTATATAGATTTGCATGAGAAGGTAAAGTGCCCTTACCTAACAGCTCAGGCACAATACCTCCACACAGACAGTGTTATATATAAGAGAATATCTCCCGCAGACAAATACTAACCATGGGTTTGTAATTTTACAGTTACACACAACACTATTCCCTCAATTGCACTTTGGTCTATTTTATTTCACACTTGTGAATGTAAAGAAACAGTACAATAATGAATGGGTTATGTGCATTATTTCCTCACTATATATAGCTCAACAATTGGCTAGATCAATTCAGCTTGGTGTACAAAAGGATATTCAAATTCAAATCTATAGCCGACGGAAATTTGGCAAAGGTCGGTTGTATTCTAATAATTGTATGTGCTTCCTGGAAGTCAGCTTTTATAATCTTGATGGGATTGAAATGTATTGGCGTTAGCAAACAGACCAGCCATATACTATGTTTCCATTGACAATTTCTTATTGTTACCAAAACATCAATATTAAATATGAAAATAATTCAATTATGAAGCTCCACAGACACATATCATCGGTAAATTTTAGAAATGTCAAAAGTCACAAATGAAGTTCAGAGTTCTAGTAAAGTTATATAAGTTCAAATGAAGGTATTTTTCTTCTTCGTATAAATAATTTGGTGCATTAAATTCTGCTGAAGATATTTTAAATTTTTAACACAATTTCTTCTGTTTATCAGCTTCCAACTCCTCCATTTTTATTGGCAGAGATGTTGGTTAAAAATAAGTGCTTATTAGCCTGTAGATTTTAACCTCTTGTCGCTTTGGTTAAAGTCCTAAACTTTAACAGACATGGCAGCCTTTCACTTGGTGATCTTTATTATGGAAAATTATCTGAGATACATAACCATCATGGATGCTTACATTTAACAAGTGGTTAGCTTTACAAACAGTTGAATTTATTAAAATTATGCTTAACTAAATGTTTAAAGTATTATAAAATAAATCTGTATAAAGAGCTGTAATCATAGCCATGTGTTTTTTAGTCAAAAACAAATTCCTGCACAGCCTGTCTTGTCATTCCTAAAATAATGAAGTTGATTACTGGACGATGTTAGTTCATTTTCAAATTTTAAAAAGAAAACTTCTGAAGTTAAGTTTCGTTTTGAAGTAACAAGAGTAAGATCAACATTGACAAACGCTACAGTCACTCCTTGTGGACCCTCAACATACTACAGACATTTATCCATTTATTAGGCATTGTGCCATGGCTATTTCAGGGCCTCTAAGGTGGAGCAGTTTATAAGGTCACCTTACAACATAAAAAAGTGATTTTTCTGTCTGCAGTGTGTGCAACTTTTCACTTTATTTGACCATTTACAAGTGATAGAGGTAGCCAGCGTTACAAAGGTGTGCATTATACATGTTAAAGGTGGAAGGTGTAAAGAAACTGCTTGGGGACCAGAGATTAAATTGTCATCAGGAAATACACAAGTGTTTAAAAGATACTTATGTTTTTGTCACAAATTTTGAATCGCCTCTGAAACCTTTTATGCAAGGTGTTGACAATAATCCTGACATGATGTCATGATACATTAAGTATATCACATGGTAACACAAAACAGATTTAATTTTATTAAATCCGGAGACTTAATAGCTAGTGTAAATAAAAATATTCTACTGAGCTAAACTCCATATAATTTGGATATTATAGTATATATATAACTTCACATTTAAGTAATTAAGATATTCCATCACTTGTTTAAATGTATACAAGCCTTGAAAGCTTATTTTCCTCTTGAATTTATGTTGATTCCTTTTTTATTAGCTCTCCGGGTCCGAAGGACCAAGGTGAGCTTATGCCATACCGTATTGTCCGTCATCCATGCGTCAACAATTTCTTCAATTGACTTCTTCTTCTTAACCACTGATTGGAATTTAACTAAATTTAAGTTGAAGCATCCCTAGGTGGTGGAGATTCAAAATTGTACAAATGGTGTGGCTGACCCCCCAGGGGGCTGAGGGGTGGGGCCAAAAGGGGGCAATTTGGCTATATTGCTATTGACGACTTCTTCTGTAGAACTTTGCAATGGATATCAATCATATTTGGTCTAAAGCATTCCTGGGAGGTGGGGATTCATAATTGTACAAATAGTGGGGCTGACCCATTAGGGGGCTTTAAGGCGGGGCCAAAAAGGGTTATTTGGCCATATTGCTTTAAGTGACTTCTTCTCTGGAACTAAGAGATGGATATCAAAAATAAATGACTCATATCCTTTCTAGGTAGTGGAGATTCAAAATTGTACAGATGATGGGTCTGACCCCCAGGGGGCTGAGGGGCGGGCCAAAAGGGGGCAATTTGGCTATATTGCTACAAACAACTTCTTCTGTAGAACTATGCACTGTATATCAATCATATTTGATTTAAAAGCATTCATGGGAGGTGGGGATTCAGATTGTACAAATGGTGGGGCTGACCCCCTTTGCTAAGGAGTGGGGTCAAAAAAAGTTTATTACTTGGAAATGGTTGAGATTCCCACCGTATAACCATATATACAATTGCTGAGTATGAAGAGAAGAATGCACATTTGCTTCCAGGATGGCCCTGGGGTCTGGCCCCACCCTCTGAGACATAGTCCTTGGGTAATAACTTGGAAACGGTTGAGATCCCCACCCAAAAACTATATATACAATTGTTGGGCATAAAGAGACGAATGCAGTCAAGATATTAGAATTGACTCCAGGGTCTGCCCCACCCTTGCAGACTTAACCCCTGGGTCATAACTTTGAAACGGTTGAGATCCCCACCCCATAACCATACATAAAATTGCTGGGCATGAAAAATCAAAAACAGATATGCTGCAAGGATTGGCCTTGGAGACTGGCCTATTCCCTTTGATTTCATTTGAAGAATATTTTGCCATGATTGCTTAGATATCCAGGTGAGTGATACAGACCCTCTTGGGAGCTCAGAACATGTTGTAATTATCTCCAGTAATGTTGCATAAAAGTGCTAACGTCAAATAATATCATGATCGGTAGTACATTTTATAGAGGTTAAGGTTTCTGTGGGCAAGCAACTCAAGTCGGAAAATGCCAAACAAATTGTAAAACTTCTTAGTTGGAGATAAAACACAGAGTGCTGGGACACTCTACCTTAAACTTAAGATCTCATTATAAACATGCTCCTAGAACTTCTATTATCTATTCACTTGTCTTGATTGGAAAATATACACCTGTCTTGATTGGAAAATATTGGTCATAGTGTTTTGTTTAAACAAGTTTCATTGTTTGAACAGGAAATTTAAACAAGTTTCATTGTATGAAGAGGAAATTTAAACAAGTTTCATTGTATGAAGAGGAAATAATGGTCACAGTATTCAGTTTAGACTGGTTTCACTAATTATTTCATATCATGTGGCAGATTGGTCCCAATCAAAAAGAAATTAAATTTCCAAACAAACCTATAAAAGTAGAACTAACAGTACGGTATAATGTTGTGTCTGATATTTGTCACTTGTCTCAGTCATAGAAAAAGGAAATTGATTTTCATACCGTTTTATTACAAGGTTGTTTAATAAGCGTCGATATGAGTATGTAAACAGACATACCGTTCACACTGAGGCCATCACCGCTAAAACAGTAGTAGGTCCCAGGTCATTACTGTGCTTCATCATTGTTGCCATAGCAAATTGTATCCCAATATTGATCAATAGAGGTCGAAATGAAGTACAACATATGTCCACACTGGCTCTACATACCAGAGACAATCCTGTACGGGTGACTGTCACTTCCATTTGTAGATTTATCCTAACAGCAAATCAATGAGGATGTCTGTTCAATCCGCAATATAAAAGAAACGCATTATAATCCCTATCTAAGTAATTATAGTGTAGGATGTGCCCTCTAGTTACATCAGGTGTGGGGTAAAACCTACGCTAATTGCGTAGATCTGGATACAGTTATAATGTGATCCTTTCATAACCCGGACTGCAAAAATAATCCTGGTAATTGATTTGCTGTTAGAACCTTTATGCTCAGGTTATATAAAGCTGTGTAGTTGTAAGTATAAAAAAGATGAAGGATGAAACTTCATGTTAGAATTATGCCATATTGTGTTTGTGATTGTTATATTTGTTTTATGGCTTTATAATTACGGTCAACACTGAGTCATACCATATAAAAAACAGAATTGACATTTATGTATTTGATTGATATGGTCTCGGGTATTAACGGAAAGCCATACCTATAGACTAATTCTGGATAGTGTTGTGTTCAGTAAAAGGCCAGTGAATTAAGTATTCTCCCTATAGGATTCCAGGAACGCGGGTCACACAGGTCAGAAATTATAACATATTGGACAAAATAAGACACCGGCCTGAACTATAGGACCCTGTCAATCTTTAAAAAGAATCAACATATTTCTTATAAAATGGGAGGTTATATGATCAGTGTTTCTTATTTCCCTCCTTTTCTCTTTGCTGAGCAAAATATAACTAGGGGTGATGCATCCAGTTATATTTAACATTGTACAGCATTGCAACTATATAAACCCTACCAAATGCAGTTGGCATTCATCTAGTCTATGAATGCCATGGACCAATTGTTGACGTCATCATTAATTATGACGTCATTATTGTTACATTGGATACCCTTGGCGATGGCTGATCTATTCATTGAACAAGCATACATGATACATACATTATTTGAACTAAATGCTGAATAATAATTAGTGTAATTGAACTTTCTATGAGAGGAACAGATTCCAAAAAATGGTTATATAAGTATTGATTTGCTTTCAGTTGGCATTCATAGAGCTTCATGTTGGATTTGCCTTTGTCCAGTTGGAATTCATATTGCCTTTGAATGCCAACTGAGAGCAGTTCAATGCTTAAATAATATCCTGGGAAGAAGACTGGTTTAAATACATACAATACCTGTACACGTGTACGTAGCTATTACAGGTATTGGAAATAGACCAGTGTATATATCATGTGGAGATTGATTCACTGCAGTTGTCTATGGGACTACCGAGGACAAGCTTATTTCTTGAAAGACCTTTATCTGATTTTAACACTCAGTTGAACTTGTCTGTTATGAATATATTTTTTCTGGGTGCAGCTGTGATATTTCTGTCTGAAACTCTGTCTTTTGTGGTGAAGTATCATTGTTCGTAAATGACATGATGTTCCTTCATGAAAGAGCTGAGAAGATCGTCTGATACAAGATTTAAATTGCACCTATGCACCGTTGTGATAGCACCCATGAACCAGTCTATCTAATAAACCTTGCCATGGTTTCCCTAAGCACATATTTACTCATCGCGCCAGTGTTACATCACAAACAATATCTCTGTTGTGACACCAGCCAATTATCAAGGTTTATTGCTTGTTGAAACAGGTGCCTTTTGATTAATGGTGATTATGAATGTACTGGGTTTAATATATAAATGCGGTTGAATTTCAATCATTTTGTCATTTTGTTATTATAAGCGTTTTCTATTTACATACACAGGTATAGGTAGAATTCAAACTAGGTGGTGTGTATGCATCACTTGGTAGATTTTTGGAAACAGCAAGATTGCATCGGAATATTTATCGTTGGTTTTCTCTACCATATATAAGCAAAATATGTAAGTGCAAAGGACATTACAGTTTGATAAAATTGTACTTTGATGTTGCCATTTTGTGAGTCCATCATACGATCACACCATCTTCACGTGACCTTAACTGTTGCACATACACAAAACCCTTGACTCATTCACCCCTGAAATTTCATAATGAAGTATTCCAACCTTTGAATGGGAGGAGTTCAAATGTGTTTCAGGGGTGAATGTGTTAACAAACAAACAAACCTTGCATACCACTTTGTATAACTTTAAGACAACATAGATTGCATAACGATAGATTAGTTAGACACCTTTCCTACAGAGATTAACCGACTTTGGAAAACAACTGCCTACATTATAAAACCATGCCTGTTGACTAATATAATTGCCATGCACGTATCAAGCCAGTGATTCTTTTGTCCTTTTTTGGCTTTGCTGCATGTAATACGTTTATTACAATGTTTAAGGAGTACATTTTTTGTTCAGAAATGTAATGAGATCTCCTGTTGATTTCAACTCACTATCCCAAGTGATACATATCCATTTATAGGTATACTTGTTTTATCATGTATATATATACCTTTAAAAATGGAGTCTTTAGGATATATCATAAGTGTGTGCCAATAATGAACCAGGAAGTAGATTACACTACCGCCATAGTGTAGACTGTATAACATACACTAATTGATAAAACAGCCCATACATAAACAGACTGGAATATCTTATATATTGAAACAGGAAAATAGGTTTATATTCACTTCGTTTCATTTAAACTGCCTTCGTCAACAAGATGACCTCTACGTAGTTTAAAGATAAAACCACTATTTGACAGTGACTAAGTAACAGATAGCTTAGATCCTTTTTGTAAATGAAAACTTAAATTACAAGGGAAAAGTATTCAGTGACATGTTTTATTTGTAGAAGTGACCAGCCAGGATCAGTTCACTTCCCTGGTACGTGTTTCTTATCCGAGACTACTATGTAGGACGGATCAATCACAAACCTGAAGGCCAAACCTTTAACACTGATCCTGCTGGGTCACTAATCCAAGTATTCAGGGTATTCCTTTCCATTTGGGTGTCAATGTCTTACTGTGCATATATATCACCAACCTGTTATTAGTTTGAATATGTGGTCTCTAGCTCAACAGTACAGACATTTCTGGTGTATTGTTGGGTATATAGATAAAAAATGGAATTCAATAGATTTATAATAATATACCATTCCAGGTCAAGATTTATTTATTTATATTTTTAGGAATGAATGTGTACAATGTATTAGAATATTTTTATATGGGGTTTAAAGACACCGCATGCTACTCAAGTTTGACTACCGTATTTATCATGTTATAAACCCAGGGAGCCAACACATAATCTCTGACTCGAAGAAGGGGGTTGGCTTATCAAAGGGCAATGACAAAGTCATTTTTGGCATTTCTTCTGACATGTTATATATAGGAATGGGCTTTTTACAAAGCCTGGGTTTATTGCCACTAATTCTGTAATCAAATCTTGTGTGCAGAGTATTAAAAAAGACCATGCAAGGCCACAAGCTAATGTGGGGCCTAACAGAATGTTGATTTCTTATGTGCACTTTTGTAGGGGACACTGACAAATCAAAAAAAATAATTGCCCTCATTTTAACATTTTGAACCTTTAACTTTTCTCTTTTAAATCTTGACCATTTCCTTTCGGCAGTGTCTCACTAGGTACACCTTATGTGTCTGTATAAGGTGACTGAGCAAGGTGTCATATGTTGCCATGCTGTGACAATTTTTGTCAGTTTGGTGGCACTTTAAAATTTACTTGAAGGACAATTTTATCAGTGTATAGCCTCCCCATATGACTTCTGCTTTTTCTGAAGATGAAAAACAACATGCAAACTTGATTTCTGTTATTCAGTCTCATTACATCTTACCCAGGTTTTCTGTCTCATTACATCTTACCCAGGTTTTCTGAAGATCAACATTTGTACATGAACCTATGTGTACCACTGGTATCACTTTTAACTTTTCAAGGTCAATTTCACAAATTATTATCTGATGTTTTTTGAAACAAACAAAGGGGAGATGAGGGAACACTTCAATGTATTACACATGGGTGTGGACTGATCCCAGCCCACGGCCATTGCCCCAGTGATGTATTACTTGACAATACTTTGTAGACTCTACCGTCCATGTCCCTTCGATTGATTGACCTACTTTATGGACAGCATTGTATTAGACTTCAATAATCTTTTAATGACCTATTGAGGTAAAATTTGAACTTGTTAATGTTGTAATGGCCCATAAACACAGTAAGGCCATTTTAAGGTAATTACACAGTAAAATTACTATAGTTTGAAACCAAGGGAGGCTCAAGTTTAAAGAAATACTAGTAGTGAAGTAGGATAGAAGAGTAAAGTTGTAGACCATCTGTATAGGGCCTTTATAAAACTTCATTTAGTGGTTTCAGTTGATTTCTCAATTGTCCCTAACTATAGGAGAACATGTATTGAAATAGGAATATTCTCATAATTATCCAAACAACGTACCCTTGTCCTTGGATTCAAAATAATCACTGATAATATACACAACAATATGATCACTTCTGACCACATATTTTAAAGAAGTTATTGAATTTAAAAATTTGACCTGAGCATCAGATAATGGTCCCTGATCAACGTGAAAACAATATCATGTCAGTGCTATAGTACTGAGGTAGGTAGCACACATTAAAGATGCATTGGTTATTGCTTTCTGGTGATGTAAAAGCTGCTTGTTGTTTTAGGTATCGTTCAGTATGCTGGAGATATACAATGAGAAGGTGAGGGATCTATTGGTGAAGAGCAAAGCAGAGACGGGTGGTCTCAAGATTCGACAGGACCAAAAGGCAGGATTCTATGTAGAGGGATTAAAAGTAGGATATGTTTCTCTTTAGCCAAGTAATGGTCTCAACTTCCGTTATGTGTCGATTGGTAATCCCTGTATTGGTTCTTGTCAATGTCATAAGTTAATCAATTGTATTCAGTTTGTTAAATGTTTTGAATGGATTGTACTAGGAGAGTAACGTTCATTAAATTTTGTGATTGGGTTGTACTAGGTGAGTAACATTTGTTAAATGTTGTGAATGGATTGTACTAGGAGAGTAACATTTGTTAAATGTTGTGAATGGATTGTACTAGGAGAGTAACATTTGTTAAATGTTGTGAATGGATTGTACTAGGTGAGTAACGTTTGTTAAATTTTGTGAATGGATTGTACTAGGAGAGTAACATTTGTTAAATGTTGTGAATGGATTGTACTAGGATAGTAGTTTGTTAAATGTTGGAATGGATTGTACTAGGATAGTAACATTTGTTAAATGTTGTGAATGGATTGTACTAGGAGAGTAACGTTTGTTAAATTTTGTGAATGGATTGTACTAGGATAGTAGCGTTTGTTTATACACTTGATGTTAATACTGCCATGTTAATAAATGTCATCACAACTTTGTTTAAGCAATATTTTAATGGCCTTTATACAAAAGGTCAAGGTCATAGAGCTGATGTTTTGCATTTTGGTAGGTTGCTTATTTTGAGTCTGGAAGTTCATACACCAGAACATGGCTGATAATGTTACTTGTGTCATTTCAGCATGTGCCTGTGCGTAACTACAAGGAAATAGAGAAGTTGATGGAACAGGGTACAGTGAACCGGACAACTGCTTCAACCAACATGAATGCTACCTCATCACGGTCTCATATGGTCATCACCATACGCTTCAACCAGGTACGTCATCCGAAATTTTAGACTCAATGGGTTATCACCATATGCTTCAATCAGGTATAATAAGTGTAATATAGGGGTAACACAATATGATATCCCTGAATAAAAATCACCACATGCTTCAAATTTGTGGTCAAGTGGTTAAGACCTCAGACTGTCTTGATCACTTGCCCTCCATCACTGGGTCAAGGTATGTGGTCAGTGGTTTTTCTTCAGGAACTCCACCACCTTGGCACGTCCTTAAATGTCCATAGGATGTAAAACCCTAACAAACAAATCAATTTGTCATGTCATCTCTAAGGTAATATTTGGTTCAACATCTATAAGTATAATATATTGGGTCATTACCACATACTTCAGTCAGGTATATCAATATAAAAGCATTTTATGACATTTGCTTAGAAAGGAAAACATGTTTTTTGTACCATTGCTATTCTGCCAGTCCTCTTTGTTAAATCCTTACACTTAGATATTTGAATCTCTTCCAGACAAGCATTGTGGTCCTAATGAATGCTTGTTGTGTCATATCAGCTTGATTTCTATGACTGTATAACCTATTTTACTCGATCACTCTGCATACTTGTGGGTATCCAGACGAGGGACAGAGGACCAGATTACTCCACCATTGAAGAAACCACGACCTAGGCTCTACCCTAAACCTTAGTTTACTTGAGATCTAGTCACAAAAATCTTATTAAACCAAAACGAATTCCCTCTATATATGTGATCATCTACCACATTCATTATCAATAGAATTATGTCTCTCCATTTCTACAAATAAGAAATAATGGTGAAATTATCTTGCATGTCAAAGTAATTCTACCTGTAGATTTCTATGTTCGTTTCCACAGACAACAAAGCTTTAAATCCAAACATTAGAAACTGTCAGTAATTAGTTTACCTGTATAGGTGCACACACTGTATGTGTGGTAAATACTCTATTGTCACCTGGGTAAAATCTTTGGGAGCGTGAGAAAACAACGATGGCATGTTCCTTTATTATGAAATGTTGACAGACGGTGAACTACAAACATTTTGCAATCATTGATATAAGGTGAGAATATAAAGGGAGATGTCATTTCCCCTTGTAATTAAATTCAGATCTTAACGAGCCGTTCTAGATTTGTTTGATATAGCATTCCCAACACAAAAACAATATGATGGCTTCTATGAATAAATTAAGCCACCTATTGAATTTTCATTATTATCTTGTAATACTAAGATCAATATAATGTTCAATGTTAGCGATACCTGAAGTAAAAGCTATATAAAATAATGAACCTCACGAAGTTATTGATTATATTGAATTTACTACAGTAGAATAATGATGAATGATATAATGTGAGACTCTACATAAAACAAATAACTTATGGATATTAATAGCCAGGGGTTAGAGCGTAAAACACAATACCCACAAATACACAATGGATGCAGTGCTCTGCCTATGAAATCATTATAACTTATAATAACAGTGTGCGTGTGTGTGTGACTATTTTCAGGATTATACCACCCTAAAAATCAATTTATATTTGTTTTCACCTTTGTTTGACAAGCCATTTTTACCAGACATTTATTCAGTCAGTTGTAGTTTGGTACACGTTGAATTAAACTGCCAATTGGGTGGTCGGATGGCTCAGTGGTTAATGCCCTTGTCTTTCACCAAGACAGCCGGGGTTCGTCTCCTCGATTCATGCACATAAAGGTATTGGGTCATCTGCCTGATCTCATTGTTCGGGAACTACAGGCTTGAATCCCACATCAAGACCCCCCCCCCCCCCCCCTGTGTGCTTCCATCTGTGCCAACAAGAGTGATTTTTAGATAGAAGTTGAAAAAACTGTTCCATAACTGCTGTATAATTAAACTTATTTATAAGTAACTACATGTATACCTATTGATGCAGGGATCTGTCTGTATTTGTATGTACCTAAAATACTGTCACCTACCAATAAAACTTCATGTCCCAAATAAACTGCAGAAGTTTTACCATGTACATCTTCTAATTGTGTATTATGTACTTTGAATATTTTTGTCTCAATCATAAATAAAATCCATTATGTAAAGTACTCTTTTTTTAACTTTTAAATGATAAGGCATTATAGGTAAACAAAAATGTACATAAATCTGATAAAATATATATAAGTATTGGTTTCTACAATTTTCCTGTCCTGCTATACATACATCATATGAGTGACCTAACTATGTCGGAAATGACATTGATAAATGCGTCTGGCCTTTCGCAATAATGTTCTCTTTGAGGACTTCTAAAGCTTGCTATATTGAGGTTGTTTATAATTTGCAGTGTATTAGTAAGGCTTTATGGTAATAGACACTTTGCTATGGTCCATTTTGTTGCACTCCGCACCTCTATACCTAGGCCCTTTTATCACCACTAGACATGCATTGAAATGTTTTGAAAGTATTCCTGTAAAAGCTAGCAAATAACATTGCAAAACTCAGGATGTGGATTGTTAAATATTATCTAAAGGTTAATTATTTGTGAATATTTACACATTATAAATATTATTACTTTGTAATTTGGGGTTAAGTTATGTTTGTTTGGGGTTAAGTAAAACCTACGTAACGGCCAAAGTCATACTTCATTATCACACTGCGTGGGTGTTAATTCCACCAGCCTAGCGCCAATGGCTAGTATATTTTATGTCAGGGTTTGTGATCATTTTCTTTTTTTCTTGGAAGAAAATATATAGCTTGGACCAGTAGAATTTTGCAAAATTTGTATGTGCACATTTACTTGACATATGAAATAGTCCACCCATGGGCCACATGCAGTCAGATAATTACAATATGAGTTCAAATGTGTATGTTAATTAATGTTTCCGTTGAGAGAGTTTTAATGAACTATTGTTTCGAATCAATGACTTTGTGTGATAGCCCTTTTTACAATAGAACTTATTCACTATGGTGAGGGGGTGCACCTTGGTACTCTATTTGTGTCTTACAGTTACACACACGACGACAACAAATTTCATCCTTAGCTTGTCATTTCCTATCCTACAGTGATGCTAAATATCAATTAGGATCTAGTATTGTGATTATAGGTGCAATCATTCAAACTAATTGAGGCACCTTGTGAAATTTGCTAATCCATTGCAAACCGGATTGGCATACCTTTATTGCTAAGGAAGAATTTCCTAATCTGTTACTCAGAAAATTGAGTTGGCTTACCTTTATTGCTAAGAAGGCCATATAAAGTTAGTTGGAAATCTTGTGTAATAAATCTTGGAAGTTTATGAGAAAAGATGAAGGGTTAAACACTCCGGTGATAATTGTATGCATCCACTTTACTTTAGCTTGGCATGCAAGGTAGTGACAATAATCTATTTTAATATTTCGGTGCATCAGACTTTCAAGTGTCAACTTGCTGTGGGAGTAGATTTCCTGTATAATCTGGCTGCATTGATAAGGTTACACCAAACAACTTATCACACAATTTTTAAAACCCAAACAGAATCATTGAACTTTAATTTATGACGTTACCAGATTTGACACTTAAATGTATATTGGTTGTAAATTTTAGGAGATTATTGTACAAAAGAAGCTTTTTAGTGTGTTCGCATGTCGCTGTGGATAAATGACTCCTAGCATATCCTAATTGAATGTTTTGTAATCCATAAAGTCATTTATACCTAGGCCACTTTTATAACATGCTCCATAGCAACAGTACTCAGGTTTTTTCTAGGGCAAACAAAGCTATATATTTGTCATTTCTGTGCAATATTTGTCTTTTCTGCTTCAGATTTGTTTTGAATTTAACAATGTCTGTGTGTTTGGTTTCCTTTCATTATCAGGATATGGAGATAAATTGTGTCCTCCTGTTCAACAAAATGTTTTGTTTTTAATTACAATAATTTGATGGAAATTGGAATTAACACACATCAGTATTCATTTGAATTTGTTCTAATTGACTGAAGGGTTAATGTAGGTAATGCGATTATACATGTGATTCCATCCACGGGATAAATGAGATCGGATTTATCTGTGTTAGTGATATTTCATACTTACACAGCATATTATTACATGTATCATCAATCAACTCAACCTTGACAGATTTCGTAAAGGACGGCCATTTCTACAAAAGATGAAAAATAATTCTTGTACTCATATTATCAGGTTGAACTCTAGAATAGAACACCTACCCAATTAACTGCTTTAGTTATAACAAGTCCCCAGGCTTATTAGCCCAGCATCATCTTATGATGTGAAATCACCCGTCGTCTGTGGTCCATCCCGAAACAATTCTTCTTATTATGGCTAAAGTAACATAGCAACGTTTCTCTTATGTGATATGTACAGTATGTATGTTTCCTTGATATGTAGTTGTGCATGTTAAATTTTGAGACTGGTCGGATAAACAAAAAGGCCAACAGATGGCCATCTTGGATTTTGACATGTAAGGTTTGTTATCACTCCCTCTCAAATTTGGTATGTAAGTTTTTTTGGACCCTAGTTGTGCATATTTACTTTTTGAGACTGATCAGAAAAACAAAATGGCAGACGGCTGGCCATCTTGAATTTTGATTGTTAAGGTTTGTTATCGCTATTTCTTAGAATGTACTGGAGGTATCTTTCTCAAATTTGATATATAAGTTCCTCTTAGTCGCTAGTTAGGGCCCCGTATCGGAGATACGGGTGCCCTATAGTAATCACTCTGTCTGTCTGTCTGTCCGTCCACAAATTTTGATCCTGGCTAATAACTTTGTTATTTATTGACCGATGTACTTGAAACTTGGTCAAGATGTTCAGTTCACAAAAATACACATAGAGGTAAAAATTCAAGGTCAAAGGTCAAGGTCATTAGATTCAAAGGTCAAGGTCAATTTTTGCATCTTTTCACTGATGAACATTTTGTTATGACATGATGAAGCAAAGTTGATCAGAATTAAACAAGGAGTCAACTGACCAAAGGACAAGGTCATTGGATCAAATGTCAAGGTTAAATTTTGAATCTTTTCACTGGTGAAGATTTCGCTATGACACTTTGAAGCAATGTTGCTCAGAATTAAACAAGGAGTCAATTGACCAAAGGTCAAGGTCACTAGGTCAAAGTCGAAGGTTAAATTTTTGCCTTTTCCCTGATGAATATTTTGTTATGACATTATGAAGCAATGTTGTTCAGAACTTAACACAGAGTCAACTGACCTTAGGTCCAGGTTACGGGGTCCAAAGGGTCAAGGTCAAGCTTTGTTTTTTTTACTGAAGAACATTTTTTTATGACATTAAGAAGCAAAGTTGGTCGGAATTAAAGAATAAGTCAACTGACCAAAGATCAGGGTCACTGGGTTAATGGTCAAGGTCATTTGGGTCCAAAGGTCAAAGACAAAGTGGATCTCTGACTTTGACCCTGGCTCTTGATGGAGGAGGTATATAAGGTGAAATAAAACAAATCAAAGCTAACAAATGAGCATTGCACCGGGATTTACATTTCTGTTAGTCCAGCAAATATGGAGGTGGAAGGAAACAAGACTCGTATCATAGTAAATGTAAAATGTATATTTTGCTTCCTTGCGATTCTTTTTGAAATCCAAATGTCAAACGTCAAGCTCAGCTATATGGGCAGATTGCTTCTTGATGATTAGTGGGGATATATTGCCACAAGACCGGTCCCTTACTGACCTGTCAGTATTCTAGTTAAATTAACTTTTGTTGTCTCTATTTCTTAGGAGGCACAGGAGGGATCTTCCTCAAATTTCATACATAAGTTCCTCTTGGTCGCTAGTTAAATTAACTTATGTTGTCTCTATTTCTCAGGAGACACATGAGAGATCTTTCTCAAATTTTATATGTTTGTTCCCGTCTGCTTCCCTTCCTTGAAATAGCCCTGGCCCTAATGAGATCTCTTCCCTCATTGAAGGCACTTCCTGTCCGAAATAGAGATGGTGAGGTACAGGTACAGTGGGTGCAGTTTATGGTACACTTGTTGAGTAATACTTCCTGTCGGAGGTAGAGATGGTGAGGTACAGTGGGTGTGTTTTATGGTATACTTGTTGAGTAAAACTTAACCTGTAATAACACTAAATAGAAGGTAAACAGAAAATGAAGAGGTTTTACGTCAGTCACCGGGATGAACAAGTTATATATTTTTTACCTGAATGCTTAGCAGTCACTAAATGAAATGTAACCACACTCAAGGATCCAGGATTTACCTTGTTATATATCGTCCGACAGGTTTATGTTGTGGTTAGATTGTTTTTACGGGAGAAGTCCTCTCAACTTTTGGTGCAAAGTAATAAAATTACAACGGATGGTGCATAGTAATAAAATTACAACGGATGGTGCATAGTGATAAAATCAAACAACCCGGTAATGTGTCATGTAATTAAAAAAATAAAAATTGACTTGCGTCATACTCTGTATATTGTTTATGCTGATATCTTTGGATATTAACCCTTACTTTTTTTTTATGATGAAGAGCTTTGTGTGTTATTTATGCTACCTTTAATATTAATATAACTGTATAAGTAGAGGAGTGGGTATGTATCATAAATCAGAGGTATAGGGAAATCAGAGGTATAGGGAGGTCAGAGGTATAGGGAGATCAGAGGTATAGAGTGGACAGAGCTATAGGGAAATCAGAGGTATAGGGAGATCAGAGGTATAGGGAGATCAGAGCTATAGGGAGATCAGAGCTATAGAGAGATCAGAGGTATAGGGAGATCAGAGGTATAGGGAAATCAGAGGTATAGGGAGATCAGAGGTATTGAGTGGACAGAGCTATAGGGAAATCAGAGGTAAAGGGAGATAAGAGGTATAGGGAGATCAGAGGTATAGGGAGATCAGAGGTATAGGGAGGACAGAGCTATAGGGAGATCGGAGGTATAGGGAGATCAGAGCTATAGAGAGATCAGAGGCATAGGGAGATCACAGATATAGGGAAATCAGAGGTATAGGGAGATCGGAGGTATAGGGAGATCAGAGGTATATGGAAATCAGAGCTATAGGGAGGTATAGGGAGATCAGAGCTATAGGGAAATCACAGATATGGAGTCATTTTGATAGTAACGAAGAACTTCTCTAACTATTTATGGTTAGATTGATAGACTCTTAATACTGCAGCTGTGACCTCCTAAATATCAAGTAGGATCAATAAAACACACATTATTAAAGTTGAAACCTTTTTTTTTTTAAATTAAATCTTTGAACATTTTACGCTCAATCACATACCTGCCAACTCTCCCTAATTTAGGGGGGTGGGGGGAACCTGCCATCTCTCCCTATTTTA